CAGAAAGACGTTGACAGTTGCGATTGCCTGAAGAAAAATTCTATCGGACACTTAATCTCGACCCAATACAGTCGTCTTTGTGCAAGGAATTCAATATGCAAACAAAGAATCAATTTTCATTATAAAACGAAATATAATGGATTTTATGTCCGAATCCATCTACAACTGACTGCAATTATAGATGGTTCTACCATAGTTTCTTTCCATTTAGAATCATGAGCAATGGCGTATATTTCTCATTTTCTGTTCTATACATTATTTGATCAGAATAAAAGAAAATTAAAATGGTTGTTAAATAAAATAGTTGTTTAATCATCAAACGACGGATACTTTCCGATTTATCCTTGTCGCACTAGAGGTCAAGATCGCTTAGTCTCAGTTTCGCTGTCTTCTTTTCTTTTCTTTGACAAACGTTAAATCAAGATACCAATATGTTAGAGACCTTCTAATGGTAGTGAAGATAGTGCATATAATGACGAGGGAAGTCGCATTATCTTGTTTTTCCCTTTTTATTCAAGAGAAGCACATTCATTTCGAAGCTATCTCATATTGGTGGATGAAAAGTCCAAAAAACAGCGAGTACTTAATATACAAAATCTTTCTTTGTCCATCTATCTTATGTGAGAACAAAATAAAAATCCTTTTCGGTTTTATTTGTTTCGTTTTGATTGCTATGTTAATGGAAGCCTGTTTGTTCATTGAAACAAAGCTCATCGATCGATTGATACATAACAGATGCTTTTGTTTTTTCACCGGAGAAAGAGAGTATAGTATACTACTGCTGATAGAGAGCAAAATGTTGTACGTTTCGAGAGAATATTACGTAGATAACTTTTCCTTCTACATTAATCACATTCAACTTTTGTTTTATCTTTTAGATTTTTTGTTTTTTCATTTGTTTTCCAATATGGTCTGATTGTTGCTAGCTATATCTACACGGATGATATCTGGATCGTGTGCAATTTTTTTAAAAAATCTTTATTAACTGGACAAGTGAGGTAAACAATGAGACTATGTCAATGCGCCATATGTTTCATATTTTTGTTAGCGAATAAGTTCGATAACTGTTCCTCATTTCTGTGAGAATGACTGCCAGTTATGTAAGACAGCATGAACGTTTTTATTTTTAACTCGAATTCTTATGTTAATGAATGAAGCGAAAAAAAATTCTAAAAGTATCGAGAACAGTCTGCTAAGATGAGATGAGTCATCCACTTATTAATTTATATTTTATTTTTCTGCCGAGATTGCGTTAATATAGTTCGATTACGAGACAGAAGCTTCTAAAATATTTGAAACAGTGAATGATCTGTATATGACCTGTTTCAAGTTAGTATCATCTTTACTATTATTTTATTTTGTTTAGAACATCAAAATGTCTGATGATAATTTAATTGAATTATTAAATGAAGCTAACGCCACGCCTCCTCCTCCAACCACCACTACCGTTAAACTTGCTCGTGAACCGTTTGCTGACATTGAAAATCGTCAACAAGATGAATCTGTACTGATTCAAATGAAGTGTTTA